ATATGAGTAACTGTCTCTGGCGGGAGGGAGATGTTGAGAGCCTTAGTTTTGCAGGATTTACCTGAAGGCCTGAGATGCCTGCAGATAGGGTAGGAATACAGTGAAGATTAGGAAGAGTCATCTGTGGGTTATTGAATACTAACAGGGCATCATCCACGAAAAGGTTAATTTTTAGACATGTCCTGCATTCGCAATACCAGTTATATCTGGATTTACCCGAATCACAATCGCCAACAATTCGATGGCCAGAATAAAGGGGGCAGCCTTGGAGTATCCTATGGAAGGATTGGGGGGAGGGGGATTCGGGGAATAGAGGAGGACCAGAAAGGAGGAAAATGTAATATTGATAATAGCAACGCTGGCAAGCTTAACAGGGGGGGTTTAAAATAATAGTGTTCAAGAAAGCTAGAAAGAGCATGTATAACAGCATTTAAAATGCAAATGAGATGAGGGCTCACCCATCAAAGTGTGTAACCTGAGAGTAAATTTGAGTCTGCTATAAGCAGAATCACAACAACAGTAATTCATACTCCTCAGGGGGAACCAGCCGTCCACAAATGAACGTCTCTAGTCACTCCAGGGGAGCTTAGATAGTCTTAAATAGTAAGAATCCACAACACCCAGTTAGGCAGACAATAAACACATTGCAGAAGGATATACCCTACTAACAGATGAGTAAGTGGGGAAACGGCTGACTCTCAGGGGGTCAAAAATCCCAAGAGGAAGAGAGGTTTGATCCCCAATATGTCACACACAGACAAAGCATGTAAAGTAATATACAACTAGAACTGATTATACCAGATGTATATAGAAACATAAAATTAAACTGAAAGCAGGCGGCATGAAACCTATTTCCCGATGGCCACACTAGGGGTATGAAGGGCAAAGCTTGGGAGTGGTGAAAGCACTCCTTCGCTGGGGACTAACTCTGGGGGGCCCCCCAGAGACACCACCTTAAAAGCCTTAAAAGCAAAGCAATGCATATTCATAAATAACCATCATGAGGAAGTTAAAAACAGCTTAGAGTCTCAACAAAAGGAAACATAGATGGATGGTTCACAGGTACATACATAGTGAGAGCAACCAAAAGGCTCAAAGGATGACAATCCGTAAATCAGGAGAAATAGTTGACAGATCAGTAGCACGATTATAAAGTAAACTTAATAATGATGTCCCGAGGGGGAACATCAAGTTTCTTAGGTTTCTAGTGCTCGGTGTATGCGATCAAATTCCAGACGGTCTATAGGAATAAACAGTGACAATTCCTGCAATAGGGCTGTTGTCGTAGAAGACAGGTCCAGTATGCATTCTGGAAATCCTCTGAGATGCAGATTGCCCCAATAGGACCTGTTTTCAAAGTCCTCTAGAGTCAGCTCTGCCTTTACACCTGTCAGATACTGTTCATGGTTCCAAAGTACTGTGCCGTAGTTACCATGTCGTCTTCTAAAAGGCATTGGTGCAGTTTCCCAGCTCCCTTATTTCACGAGTCAGATGTGCTACTAATTTGTTCGTAGTCACGGTAAGCTCTGTCTGGAGCTTAGTCTGAAATTCTGGCCAAAAGATCTATGTCTCATGGGGAGGGTGCCTGTTGCGAAGCAAGGAGATCAGCTAGGCTGTGTCTAAAAATAGCTCCGGATCTCCCGTTGTGAGCGAGTGGAATGACTCCAAAATCTAGCCCAGGGCTTCAGGCATGCTGCTAAGGAGGCAGGCCTCATCATGTGGCAGTCCAATGTTGCAGGTGTTGGCCACTTTCACTGCAGGAGTTCTGTTCTCCAATCAGAGCAGCCAGCTAACTAAACCGGGTGGTAATATATCAGGTGTGACTCTACAAAAAGCAAACAGATGGCTGATATCCCCGGAGGTCAAGGAGTGTGGTCACCTTGCGGGCATCTTCCAGCATGGCTCACACGTGCTCCCCCCATATTGGGTACTGAGGATCTATTATTATAGCTCTTAGTGGTGCCCCTGTTTTCCTACATTTCTTTAACTGACCAAACATTGGCCCTAATAATGTAAAGTAAATATATCTACTACACTTGCCAGTAGCCGACTACTTCACAAACTCATTTTAATGGACATAATAAAAGTATATTGTGAGCTCCCTGTTTTTCTGATTTATTTGCATGTTTATGGATACAGTAATTCTAGGCAATGCAGGGTTGGCTGCACAGAGAAACAAGTAAAACTGTCATGAAAGAAATAAAGAAGCTGTCATTACTGACATTTTTAATAATCTCTCTACTCATTTTGAACTTACGGCTTCCTGGCTTAACTCAGAAAAAGTAAGCCGTTAGTACTGGTCAGGTGTTTCAATCTGCATGCTTATTCCATTGGTTTCATTACACAATCAGCATGTCAGCCAAGAATGTAGAAATGTAAAAATAATAATAAAGAAATAAAATAAAGCAAATAAAAAATGTCAACAATGACGCTGCAGCAATTGCCTGAAGAAGTGATTTTGATTATAGTGCAATTTCAGAACAACTTCAAAACCATCTGACCATGCCCTTACTGCTGGCATGAAGCATCCTCTAAAAGACCGGATATTTCCAACAAATACCTTCTTATTCTGCCATCTTTCATGTTGATGGGCCCATGTTGATGGGAAGCCCAACCATAATGCAGATCATCAGTGTCAACATGTCATCCCAGTGAGGTCCCTACATTTCAGGACTGAGTACATTACTAACCTAATACCAAACTAATATCTTCTTCTCTCTCTGAGGACTTTAAACTACTTACAGACTGATCTTTTAACTCTGCCAGCCCACCCATGACTCCATATCCAGCCAGATGTCTGCCAACTATTTAAATTCTTCACTGGATATATGAACATCCAAACCTGCCTAAGCCCTGAAAAGAAAGACAATTCATGATAGTACTTCTGTTTCTTGGAAGAAAACAGCCATCTGTTTGTTCTCAATACAATGACGTCTACATAACTGACTTCACCAGGGGATTTTCAATATATTAGGTGGAATATTCACTTTTAAAATGTTCTTCACATTTAGAGAATTGTGCCCACCTGTGTATTACAAATGTGGTGTCTTTTCCCATGGCAGGAGCTGGTAAACTGTTGAAGCTATACAATGGAAGAGGAATCACTTCAAAGAACTTTAACATATTGCTGCATGCATCTATTATATACAGTTCCCACTGCGCTACCACAATCCTTTTTTCAAGCAATTATGTCGAGCTTTTTTTACTTTTGTGTGGCACGTGAAGCATCCACAGCTGTCTTTAGATATATTACGTAGATGTAAACTGGAGGAGAAGTGGGCCTTCCTGATATATCGTTCTATTATAAAGCTATGTCACTGGTACAGATTTTGAATTGGCACCACGACATTTCATCTAAACTCTGGGTTCCATTGGAGAAAACGATGGTGGGTAGAAACTTGGCAGTGTGGGACAGATTGAACGGGATGGTTCAGTTTACCCTCTCAACATCCCCTTTGGCACCTGTAGGGGGATTTCCCTGGTTCCCACCAGGAGAGGATACGACATGTTTCTGCTCCTAGGAATTTGATGGAGACACTTCACGTGATAAATTTGCTTCCACTGGTAAACTGTTATTACTTTATGTCCTACAATCCCTTTATGGGACGTTTCCACTGGTTGAATGGAGATACAGGCAATTATCAATTCTTTAGTAAACTTGGACAAATTTTGAGACCACGGGACTCCCTCTCTCCATTCGAATCAATGTGAAACTTTCCGACAAATGGACACCTCCTCTCCCACATGTACAAACTTGTACTAAGTTCACAATCGGTATCTATTCCATATTTCATTAAAGAATGGGAAAGGGAGCTGAGCCTGGAATTCTCTCCTTCTCAAATCCAGAAAATGATCCAACTGACACATGCAACCTCCATTAACACTGGTACTCAAGAGTCCTCTTACAAATTTCTCACTGGGTGGTACAGGACCCCCTCCCGCTTAGCTCAGATAATTCTTACTGCTGACCCTCGTTGTTGGCGTGGCTGTAATCAGAGGGGCATGTTCCTACACCTTTGGTGGTCCTGCCCCAAGATGAAGGCCTTTTGGGAGGAAATCACCCCTTGGATTAAAAAAAAAAAAAACAAAACACCCTCAAACCAATTGCCAGTACTCCCTTGCAACTCCTCTTTCACGATATCCCCTCCTCTATTAAATGTTTTAAGAAAGTGTTATCCCCTACCTGCTTAATGCAGAAAAATCCCTCATTACATGTTTTTGGAAACCAACCGATTGTCCCTCTCTACTTGATTGGAAACGAGAGGTGGATAATATTATGTAAGCTGAACACTGGGTACACTTGATAACATATCAGTAGGATAAATTCAAAGATATATGGGCTGGCTGGATGTATAACTCCGCCGAGATACCAGATACCTAAATATTATTTACAGAATATGCACTCGACACCTAGTACTCCCAAGATCCATTATTGTAGATCCTATGGTGTAACAACCCCCGAACCATGCACCACCACCCCTTTTTTTTTTTTTTTGCTTAAAAGTCTAGGTCTAGTTCATTAGGTTTGTTTATTAATGCTGCCTTTTTCTCTTTTGTTACCATATTGACAACATTGCTGGATGTGTTACAATGATCCTTATCTTTCTTTATTGTGATACTACCACCTTACTTTTACTATACCCTGAATGATCAGAAGAGTTGCTTGATGTTTATCTGCCAGCAATGTGTGCTATGATGGCTTTCAATTTCTAATTGTTTGCAATCTACCACCTAAGCACCTCTTCAGCATTTTTTTGCAACAATTAATGTTTCTTCTATCTCTTTTTATTGCGAAACTTTATTAAAAATACAATTACAAATAAATAAATTAAACATATTGCTATATGTAAACATAGTATTCTCCTGGTAATGCAATATCCACTAGTGCCAGTAAAATCAGGACCAATGAAGATGAGGAAATCATTTGGATATGCTTACCTAGAAATGTTTGTTATTGTAATCAATTTGACTACATTTGGTAAACTGAAGTGTTTACTCACCAGTGCCAACAAATGGATCGAACACTAAATCATCAGGCTTGACTCTTGCATGGTTTGCCATAATGAAGGACAGGCCAGCGTCCATACTTGTATTTCCAATAAAGTGCCGTTTTTTTTACACTGTAGGAATTAATTAGTTCCCGCTGTCCATCTGCAATCTTAAACAGTGCTTAGAATTATATATATGACAAGTATCATACACTTGATGGCTATTGGGGTTTAAAGACATGTGGACCAATCCCCCCCCCCCCCGTTTTTGGTGCTTGCCTTTATGAACTCTATAGTTTTAGAACCATTCATGAACATATACAAATATAAAACATAAAAAAAAAGGAGGCCAAAATTAGATTCCCGACTTGAGACTCCTTACTGCTTAAAACCTCAGAGACAGCCATTCCATACTGGATAACTTCTACCTCACTCACTTTTTCACTTGCATTTGTAAATTTTAGCTAGAACTACTGAGCTCTGCAAATATGTAACTTTTTACATCTGGTGATAAGGAAAAATAGGAAAACTGATGAAAGTTTTCACCTGCTGACTGGATAGATAGAAAACATAATGTTCATATGCAATATTCTATTTTTAGAAAAGTGGAGTATATAGTGTAATGTGTATTGTGTGTTTACTGATAATATAATGAGTTCAGCATGTCCAATTGGAACATCTGGGGTGACTTCTTGCTGGCCCCAAACACTTGATGTAGTACCTCCTTAGACAATGAAGTGGCTCTGGGTGAACAAAGAGAGAGGAGGGGCGTGATCGAAGTGTAATATAAAACATATTTATTGGAGTGAAAGACAATTGGCAACTTACACAAACAGTTAAAAGAACTCACTCATCAATAAGTTAGGGCCTCTGGTGGTAAGAGAAAGAGGCTTGGGCTGCCTTGAAAAACGTAGCCCTGCCTCCTTGATGTAAATTCCGGTCTACACTGCATCCCAAAGGAGTCCGGCGGCCATCTTTTTGGTTTCAGTTTCCTCCATCACATCCAATTTTTTGCCCTACTTGTGAACAACAAGGCTGCAAGTTTTACAGAAGAGACTACATGCTACACATTCTAGAGCCAGCTGTTCACCATGGTGATATATAATAAACGCCATTTCTTATGTACCGTGTGAGTTGCTAATTTACATGCGCTTGATATACTTGTAATTTACTGCACTTAGTCTGGAACCCCCTGGTGTTTCTTCTTGGCTCTAAAGGTCACCCACCAGTCTGCCTAGTGTGCTAACTTGTACCAAGCTGTCCTGCTATGCTGAAGATTACCACCAGAGGCCCTAACTTACTGAGGAGCGAGGTCTTTTAGCTATTTGCATAAGTTGCCAATTGTCTTTCACTCCACAAAATACATTTTATATTACACTTAGATCATGCACCCTCCTCTCTCTAATATTTTATTTTCATCGGATTAAAAAATATTTTAAACATTTTTTAGCATGGTTTTTATTAATAAATAAAATCTATAAGAAAAACCTGGTATGTGTTCCCTTCAAAGCAGTTCCCATTGTTAAGCACTGCATTTGATTAGAAGAATGTGTATATTTTATTTTACACACCTTGTGAAGTCCAAGTGAATTCTGTACAAATTTTTTTTCAGCACGTTATGTTTTATGTGGTTTAAGGCCTCAATAATTACATCAGAAAAAATAAAGACAGTTTTAACCTATGTTAGGATCTGATAGAGCGGCCAAAAGTTAGTGGTCCGATATTAACATGATATACCGTGATTTTGGGGGAAAAAAAAATAATAATAAAAAAATATATATATATATATATATACATACATATATATATATATATATATATATATACACATATATATACACACACACATGTATATATATATACACACACATACACCTACACATACACACACACACACATACATATACACATGCACTGGGGACCTTAACATACGTATAAATTGAATGTTATCCTGGGAACATACAAAAGAGGACTATAAAAAATGGGAGCTGCATGTTCTTTTAAAAAGGACTAAGCATAGTATTCCATTAAAATACTGTATTTGGAGCATATATGATTGAACATATTGCAATTTTAATCCACTACCTCCAGGAAACATTGAAATGCTTATTAAAATTGCCTTTCTAAATTTGTTCTAACACATCCTTTGGGATCTTTGGTTTTACTGCTTTGCTGCACGGGTTTTCTGGGACTATTCTTTATAACGGACTATTGACATTGTATGCTGTGGATTTTTCCACTCTATCATAGCAATTTTACATTTATTATCATTATAAGTCTTTTGTACTTTTTTGAGCAAAGTATCTTTTTGTACAACTCGACAGAGGTCACCATGACTTTGACAACTCTCATCTTGAAGTAATTTGAAGGGGTGCCTTTTGGATATGAAGGTCCACAAGTGGGACCTTAAGGAGGCACTTTGGGCCGAGTCCAAGATTAGACATATGTACTCCAAACGGCATGAGAGCTGAAGAGCAGACTTTGGAAAGTTCACTATTCAGCTAAGGTTTTGAAGGAACTGAATTGTCCTTTGAACACTGGCAGACAGGTTGTGGCCGAAGAGTCCATCAGGAGAAGATCATGTGACATGAATTCTCTGGGTCTGCAGAAGTAGGGAAAGCACTTTTGTGAACACTCAGGTTGCAGAGAGATCCTGAATGTTAGAGCATAACTGGAGGTGATGGTCTTCCACAGCAAAATAAATAAAGTCCTGATGCACTGGAAAAACTGGATTGTTTAGATAGCCATCTTGTAGGTCTACTTATGACAGAAATTACCCTAGTCTGACGGAAGGAATGACAGATCTTGTTGATTCCATCTGGAATTTGGGTATACAAAGAAATCTGTTTAGAGCCTAAGTCCAGTATTGGATAAACATCCTCATTTTATTTTGAAAATGTGAATAGTTTTGAATAGAAACCTTGAAGGAAGTCATTAAAATCTGCTTTCTTTTTGATCTGAGGGGCTCCTTAAACATGACTGTTCACTTCACTACCCAAAGCAAACATTACAGGCTGGTTACACACAGTGGGGTCTGGGTATGGTCATGAGGTCACACCGAGGATACCAATACAAAAAGTGTTTAGATAGCACAGGGCAATATGCAATCAGATCTAGACAGAAATGTCAAGAGAGTAAAATGGAAAATTTCAAGGAAGGTGCATCTTCAAAATGGGAAGAGGTGCTTCACCTAAAAACTAACAAAAATACCGGAGTCTCACAGAGAGGGCAAAGTTATATAAGTGTGCACTAGGGACAGCCCTAGCAATTTCCCCCATAATTTTATTATTACAGTTGTGGCCAAAATTATTCAACCCCCAATGCTGTAAAGGGGTTTAGGGACTATAGTGTACATTTGGAATTGTATTCAGAATCAAATCCTACAAGGACGTTGTAACTACCCAAATGCAACTAAAATGACATCAATTGTTTATGTAATACAGTAGTAAATGGTTCTTATGTGGTTTCTTCATTGCCACAATTATTCAACCCCTTAAAGACTACCACTCTGAAGAACAGAGGTTCATACAGGTGCTTTCCATCAGGTATTGAAAACACCTGTGGATGTCACCGAGCAGCAATCAAGCATAATAAGCACCAATTAGGCAGCTTTAAAATGACTGTGATACTCAGCTCCTTCTAGACATTTACTGGTGTGGTTACAAACATGGTGAAGGCAAGAGAATGGTCCAGGAAGACAAGAGAAGAGGTGATTTCTCTTCACAGGAAGGGCAATGGCTATAAGAAGATTGCAAAGATGTTAAACATACCAAGAGACACCTTAGGAAGCATCATTCGCAAATTCAAGGCAAAGGGCACTGTTGAAACGCTACCTGGTCGTGGCAGAAAGAAGATGCTGACTTCGACTGCTGTGCGCTACCTGAAGCGTAGAGTGGAGAGAAGTCCCCGTGTGACTGCTGAGGAACTGAGAAAAGATTTGTCAGATGTGGGTACAGAAGTTTCAGCCCAGACAATAAGACGCACACTGCGTAATGAAGGCCTCCGTGCCAGAACTCCCAGGCGTACCCCCTTGCTGTCTCCAAAGAATAAGAAGAGTCGACTGCAGTATGCCAAAAGCCATGTGGACAAACCACAAAAGTTGTGGGATAGTGTTCTGTGGACTGATGAAACAAAATTAGAACTGTTTGGGCCCATGGATCAACGCTATGTTTGGAGGAGGAAGAACAAGGCCTATGATGAAAAGAACACCTTGCCTACTGTGAAGCATGGTGGAGGGTCAATCATGCTTTGGGGCTGTTTTGCTTCTGCAGGTACAGGGAAGCTTCAGCGTGTGCAAGGTACCATGAATTCTCTTCAGTACCAGGAGATATTGGATGGAAACGTGATGCAGTCCGTCACACACCTGAGGCTTGGGAGACGTTGGACCTTTCAACAGGACAATGATCCCAAGCATACCTCCAAGTCCACTAGAGCATGGTTGCAGAGGAAAGGCTGGAACATTTTGGAGTGGCCATCGCAGTCACCAGACTTAAATCCGATTGAGAACCTCTGGTGGGACTTAAAGAAAGCAGTTGCAGTGCGCAAGCCTAAGAATGTGACTGAACTGGAGGCCTTTGCCCATGAAGAATGGGCGAAGATACCCGTAGATCGCTGCAAGACACTTGTGTCAAGCTATGCTTCACGTTTAAAAGCTGTTATAACTGTAAAAGGATGCTGTACTAAGTACTAAGATTGAATGTCACTTGGGGGTTGAATAAAACTGATAATGCTGTGAGCACAGAAAAGACATTTGTGGTTATTTCATTATAACTGTTATGTTATATTTGTCTGACCTACAAGTGCCTCTTTAATGTAAATGTAAGCAAGATGACTGAATGATCAAAAGCAATGTCAAACTGGCCAAAAACACTCAATTTCAGTGGGGGTTGAATAATTTTTGGCCACAACTGTACATGTCTCATGTCCTGTACTATACAAATTAGATAAGTGTAATTTATAAAAACAGATTTAAGGTTATTGTAAAGGCAATTTTTTGCCTGGAGACCCCTGCCGGTGCTGTTCATTCCTTCTTACTAATGTGCTTTAGAGCCAGATTGTGTGCGTTCATGGACACACACAGTAATGCATGCTGATCTTTTACATATTTGAAAGACTGCCCCCCATAGCAAATCATGGGAAGAAAAATGCATTCAGAATTCCTAGAGTGCAA